TCTTCTCCCCCCATCTCACTCCCAATCCCCCTATCTCTTCTCTACCACTTTCCTCCAAAGTTTGTCATTCTCATTGCAATATCTCCATAGCCATTTCCCATGAACTGCCACATTCAAATCTGCAATGGATCTTAAACCCAGCATGCCCTTATCCATACCTTTCTTCACTTCCTCCCACTTTACCAAATGATATTTTTTACAACTGTCATCATCACTCCAAAGGAATCTACATTGGATCCTTTCAAGCTTTGAAGCAATGCTAACCGGAATAGTTAATATAGAAAGATAGTAGATTGGGAGGTTAGTTACGTACTCTTGATTAAAGTAAGCCTCCCCTCTTTAGAAAAAAAGCTTCTCTTCCATCCTGCAAGCCTCCTTTCAACCAACTCCACAATCGGATCCCAAGTTCTACCATCTTTAAATTTCGGGCCAAGAGAAATCTCAAGATATTTGATGGGCAGCAAAGTGATATTACAGCCAACACCACAGCTAACTCTACCTCATCCCTCCTATCCCCAATCCTAACATTTTTGTCTTTCTTATAGTGATTCTCAGTCTGGATACCATTTGAAAACATATTAAAATACATCTCAAGTGGAGCAGAGAGGATACATCTGGTTCACAAAAAATGAGTGCATCGTCGGCAAAAAATAAATGTGAGATCTTCACCCTAATACAAATTGATGCAGAATGGATTTATGAGGGTGCTTTGATAACGTCCAAGCTAAACAAATGATGTTGAATTCATCAGGAAAACAAGAAATTTTTTGTCTCCTCCAAGAAGAAAATTATTCATTGAAGAATAATATATAATTTATTAAGAATTTAGTGTCTAATTTTTGGTGTCAACTTCGTGCACCCATATGATTTACATATTTATAGTGTTCTTAAGTTAATCCTTGAAAAGCAATGATTATAAAAGGAAAAAAAGAAAATTATTAATACATTTCTTAATTAAGAAAATAAATCATAACTAATCTAGGATATGGATTGTAACTAATTTAGGAAGATAATTAAAATAATACTAGACTACTAACCTATTTAGGAATATAAATCTAAAATTAATCATAACTAAGCTGCAAAAGGTCGCATTCTTACCCTTGACAATCTAATGAAAAGAGGTTTCATGATTGCCAATAAATGTTTCTTATGTAAAAACAATTTTGAAACCTGTCTTGATGATCTTGGTTTTGTTGTTGATAGTTTAATCGACTTGTAAATATATTGTAAACGGATTGTGCTCCATTGGCAGTTTAATATCAATACAACTCCACACTTTTATTTCAAAAAAAAAAAATCTAAAATTAATACTTTAAATAATAAAAATATTAGCATATCTATAATTCTTCTCTGCATCAGTCTTAAGTTGGTTTGGTAGTCAACCAAGTTACTGTCACTATCATTGGATTTGTTAATCACAAATCTCATATTTGTTTTCAATGAACGTAAAAATTGAATCAACTTGTGACAGAAGTTCCCCATAAATTCAGTATTCTATTTGTAGAAAATAAAATCAGGTGTATGAAAGCTCAGGTCTTTGTATTTAAATGAAAGTTTGCATTGGATTGTTTAGTTCATTAGTCCAGACGTGGTTGCATTTACTAAAGCATACACATATTAACTAAGCAATTTTCTTGGAAAAAGAAATATTTCTAGAATTGAAAACTTTATCTTCTGTCCAAAGCTTTAATTTGAGGAGGTTATTACTTCATTGGCACAAGATCCTTGATATTGAAGTTTTTCTTCCTTCAATCTTGAATCTTCGACAATTATACCACTCTAAACCTTTTGATATTATATTTGGCATTTTCCCATGATTTATAGTGTTCTTTCTGTTTTTTCCTCAAAAAATATTGTTCTTTTGGTTGATGTTAATAGTTTTTTGTTTTTACTAATTATGTTTCATAAGGAGTAAGTTATGTAGTCTTGTCCTAAGTTCGTAATCAATATTGATTGCTTTATTAGAAGATTTTTAATATGGGATAATCCTTATTTCGTCAGTACTCTTAGTCAATGTAGTTGTTATTAATTATTTTTTTCTCCAAACTCTACTGTCATCCGTTTGTTACTTTTCCTTAATTTTATACTCAAATATGTATATGAATACAGCCTTACACATCACATTAATGTTAAAAAAAACCTTCTCGAGCACCATCAGTTCATGGTATCCAGATAATAAAAATCCTCTCTCTGGCCATTGTCGTTTCCATGGCAGATAATAGGTCTATGACTTGCTCCCTTGAATAATGGTCTTGAAGAAGATATGTCATCCCCATTTCTTCAACATCACTCTGACAATCCTGGCATTTCACTAGTTACCCAACCCTGTCAAGGAACAACTATCCAACCTGGCATTAAGCCATTGACATGACCTTTAAAGCCGAAAAAAAACTCAGATAACCAATAGTATCATCCCAAACCAGTTGCCAATCACTGAAACTTCCTTCCTACAAAAGGTGCAACAATATTGTCCTCTTATGGCTCCTCAACACTGTGTTCAATAACAGATTGACAACAATATGTTTTTTTTATTTATTGCTCGTGATGATTTGCAAGATCATGAAAAGAAATTTATGTAGCAAATTGCAACTTGCATCTATAGAATCTAGCATGTGATTTTCATATCACTGGAAAGACAATGACTTGATTTCCATTTATTACACTGAGCTCAAACTTCTCTGGAACGAGCTGGCCACTTATAATCCTATTTTGGTTGCACCTGTCGTGTGGCAGACAAACTATTCAAAGTTCAACAATGAGATCAACTTCTCTAATTCTTGATTGGACTTAATGGCTTATTCTCTTCCCTTAGGAGCCAAATACTCCTTATGCATCCTCTTGTTACAATAAGTAAAGCATACTCGATCAAACAGGAAAAAGACTATGTAAGCATTAACACCCAAAAACAAGTTGCTGCAGGAACCAATATGCAATGGCTGTCACCAAAGCTCAATCTACTCGACACTCTTCTTCCACTGCATCATGTTCTGCAGGACATTCTGCTTTTTGTGGTTACAAGGGACATTTTGAAGCATAGTGCAAGAAGAAGAAAGCTTACCTACAATCCTAGTTAGAAAATACTTTGTTGATAAGAATTATATGTTAAGTAGAGTATTAGACTATAGTTAGAGTTTTAATAGTAAAAATATATCATATAATTAGAATTCTCTTATAATAACGATAATTACTCTATATATATCTCATAAGTGTAAACACAAAGATATAAGTATAAAATTAGATGTTTATTTCCCAAAATTTCATGGTATCAGAGCCAAAGGAAACTATTTTAGGTTTTGAAAAACCCTAAAA